ATAGGCCGCCATATATTTTATTGCAAACATTGTAAGCTAAAAAAAGAAAAAGTAGGTCATGGTGTTTTAATTTGCATTGTTATTTAAAAACTTGATCTGCAAAGTTTTGTAAACAAAAAAAAACTATAAAGTGGGGCTGCCAGAAATCGATCATGGAGTTCCTGGGTGCGCGGACCTTTGACCACAGGTGCTTTGACCATAGGGGGTTTGACCATAGGGGGCTTGACCACAGCGGAGCTTTGACCATAGGGGGTTTGACCATAGGGGGTTTGACCACAGCGGGCCTTTGACCATAGCGGTGCTTTGACCATAGTGCGTTTGATCATAGGGGGTTTGACCATAGGGGGTTTGACTACATGTGTTTTCTCAGCAGAGAATCTTTGATCACAGGTGGTCTATCAACTGGTGTTTGATCACAAGCGCTGTGTCCGGCTTTGATCATAGGTGTGATACAATTAACACGATTTTATACATGTTTCCTGAGAGTACGTTAATAGAAATTAACATGTATTTTAAAAAAAGCCAAGAACTATATTTTAGTCTCCACGTAAAGGCTGGTGCTAGGCCTCATAGATTTATTTTAAATATAAATGAAACACAAATAATGCGACATATAACAAGTTTCACAAATACATAATGTAGATGTACTTGAAAATACATAGCATATATAAAGGATAAAAGGATAAAAAAAATGATACAAAACTTGCCAACAATATAGTCAAAGATGTAATACATAAAATGGTTAACTAAATGACAGATGTGCTATAGCACGCACATATGTCAGTACATCTGTTTGACCATATGTCTGGACACCACGTTGTACTTTTTCGTGCAGCATCTTGTATCGCTTCTCAGTTGGGTAGCTTGCCCCTGCGACACCTTGCAAGAAAGTTGTCTTTTGCCGTGTGCAGTCCATCTGTAGACCTTCAAGGAAACGCCACATTGTTGGGTGACTACATTGGAGGAGAGACTGAAGACTGTAATGCCATCCTTCACAAATGTTATTTGTTCGTGCTACACCATCGCCAATCGTGTGCATTTGATTCCAAGTTTCAACTGGAAACAAAGCAAGCTTGTACTTTTCGCCACGACCACGGATGCGACGACCTCAAACACCAGTTGATAGACCACCTGTGATCACAGACCCTCTACTGAGAAAACACCTGTGGTCAAACCCCCTATGGTCAAACCCCCTATGATCAAACCCCCTATGGTCAAAGCACCGCTATGGTCAAAGGCCTGCTGTGGTCAAACCCCCTATGGTCAAAGCCCCTATGGTCAAAGCTCCGCTGTGGTCAAACCCCCTATGGTCAAAGCCCCTGTGGTCAAAGGTCCTAGGACCAGTTCCTGTACAGCCAATCAATGTTTGCCTTACGAAAGTGAAACATCGGGTTATAACTTAGGCTTGATGAAAATAAATAGAAATGTAACCTTAAATTCATCAAATTATTTTCAAGTTCTCTGGATCCGCAACTTGTATAGCATTGATTAAATTTCTGAATTAATTTTAGGCTTAAGTTTTTAATAAAACTTTATCTTTTACTATTTTACCGGTCCTATATGTAAAAAAAAAATTCATAAAAAACGTTTTAATAACAAGCTTTTATGTAATAATGCACTAAAAAGTAGAATATAAATTATAGACTACTATAATTAAATAAACGAAATATATGTAAAAGATCTAATTTTCTTCCTTTCGTCAAATTTTGAGTTATTTTCTGTGCTCGCAAGTAGTACTTTACGCCATTTCCGATTTATTATGTCATAATTAGGCGATGTGGTTTAAAAAAGTATGATTGTATTAAAAAATTGTATCGGATAATACAAATAAACCGGGAAAGATCTCGCCTAAACTTTCTCGAATATTCTTATTTAACACAACGGGGGATGGCAACTCGGGCCGATATATCATGATTTTTAATCCTTTTTTAATTACTTAAACTTTTTAAAATAGAATAGAATCTCGTAGAAAAAAGAATTGCACACCAAGTGAATAATAGTGCGGAAAATTATTAGTACTTTATAAATTCACATACGTTTTTTTTTAGAAATCGGAAATAGCAAAACATACTACTTCCTGTCAACGGATATTACTCAAAATTTAACAGAAGACAGAGAATTATATCTTTCACGTTTCATTTACCTATCTGAAATAGTACTCAAGTTATAGGCTTTTGAAAAATTAAAAGTCGAAAAAGTTCCGGTTATTGGAAATCGCTCAAAAGTTGATACGGATACGGATCTACTAATTTGATATACTTATATATGAAATTTTATCAGCCTAGCCGTAACGGTACTCAAGTTATAGCGTTCACAGACACACATACACACACAGACATACGGACAAGATTGCAAAATTATGTTTTCCCGACTCAGAGGGGTGTAAAACGTCGAGATTTGCAAAAATCACGATTTTTTTTTTTTGCACGATTACAATATTTTATTTATACACTGTATGCGAGAAAGTAAATATTGGAGTTAACATAAAGAAGATCGAGACTGCGTTTCTGTACAGCCCATCCATGCTTGTCTTACGCAAGTGAAACATTGGGTTAAAATTTAGTCTTGATAAAATAAATAGAAATATCGTCTTCATCTTTAAAAAAATATATATATTTTCAAGTGCTCTGCCTAAGCAACTTTTTTTACTTTGATTCTTAAAATTTATATTAGATTTTTGAACATTTTCAAGCCTATTTGTTTGTTTTTTAAATTTCTCTCTTTTACCGCCGCTATTAAGGTGAAATCGACAAAAACAATCAGGGCACATCGTCGGGTGATTGGGTCAGGTGGTTGGGTGTTAAAATGTTCATGGGCTTTTACTATTGGAGCGAGTGTGAGTATGAAGCGGAGGGGCCAGTTTACTTGTGTCGGTTTATATATTAATATACAAATATATATATATATATATATATATATATATATATATATATATATATATATATATATATATATATATAATTTATCTATACACATACACACACAAATATATACATATATATATATGCATATATATATATATATATATATATATATATATATATATATATATATATATATATATATATATATATATAATTTATATATACACACACACACAATGAGGACTTCTCCTTATTCACCTATAACAAATGCCATATTTTTGCATCGGTAAGATTCTATATATTATGTCGTCTGAACTAATTAAAATACATGTGCTTTATTGTAATTCACTTTTTAACTGTCTGGATACGATCTCGTGACCTAAACGACTGTGTGGTAATTAAAACGTGTCACCAATATCGATGTGGTAAATGTTAGAATTCAGCAGTTTAATTGAGTTAGGTCATAAGGTTTAGTCAATTGCTTAAATCAAGGGTTTGGGCCAATGGTTATGGTCATGGGATAAGTCTATGGATTAGGTTATGGGTTTTGGAAAATGGATTACATTAGCGGATTGGGTCCATAAATTAGGTCATTTGATTGGGCCAATGGATTAGATTAGCAGAGTGGGCACAAGGTGTTTTTCGGCTTGGAATAGTTGAGGGAGGAGGGGCCGGCGTGAGTATTGTATGCAGAGGAGTTAATTAAGTTTATATGAAGTAGCCAGATTGGATATGTGGAGTATGCTAATGTGTCGTATAGGCACCAGATTGGATATGTGGAGTATGCTAATGTGTCGTATAGGCACCAGATTGGATATGTGGAGTATGCTAATGTGTCGTATAGGGACCAGATTGGATATGTGGAGTATGCTAATGTGTCGTATAGGGACCAGATTGGATATGTGGAGTATGCTAATGTGTCGTATAGGGACCAGATTGGATATGTAGAGTATGCTAATGTGTCGTATAGGGACCAGATTGGATATGTGGAGTATGCTAATGTGTCGTATAGGGACCAGATTGGATATGTGGAGTATGCTAATGTGTCGTATAGGGACCAGATTGGATATGTGGAGTAAGCTAATGTGTCGTATAGGGGCCAGATTGGATATGTGGAGTATGCTAATGTGTCGTATAGGGACCAGATTGGATATGTGGAGTATGCTAATGTGTCGTATAGGGACCAGATTGGATATGTGGAGTATGCTAATGTGTCGTGTAGGGACCAGATTGGATGTGTGGAGTATGCTAATGTGTCGTATAGGGACCAGATTGGATATGTGGAGTATGCTAATGTGTCGTATAGGGACCAGATTGGATATGTGGAGTATGCTAATGTGTCGTGTAGGGACCAGATTGGATGTGTGGAGTATGCTAATGTGTCGTATAGGGACCAGATTGGATGTGTGGAGTATGCTAATGTGTCGTATAGGGACCAGATTGGATATGTGGAGTATGCTAATGTGCCGTGTAGGGACCAGATTGGATATGTGGAGTATGCTAATGTGTCGTGTAGGGACCAGATTGGATATGTGGAGTATGCTAATGTGTCGTGTAGGGACCAGATTGGATATGTGGAATATGCTAATCTGTCGTATAGGGATCAGATTGGATATGTGGAGGAGTTTGTTAGCTGTAGTGGCGTGTTGAGGTGATTTTAATGGTGGCGCGAGTTTGGTTATGTGTTGGAGTGCAGGATTGCAGGAGTGGAGAATTGATGGAGTTGTGGAGTGTTAGAGTGAAGAAGTGGTGAAGTGGAGAAGTATTGGAGTGTTGGAGTGGTGAACAGGTTAAGTGGTGGAGTGGATGAATGGAGGAGTGGTGGAGTGTTGGAGTGGAGAAGTGGTGAAGTGGAGAAGTATTGGAGTGGTGGAGTGGTGGAGTGAATGAATGGAGGAGTGGTGGAGTACTGTAGTGGAGGAGTGTTTGAGTGGAGAAATGGATTAGTGGGAGGTGCCTGCCATCTTCATTTCTATGTCATTAAGTTGCTTTTCTCTTGACTTGTGTAACAGCAAATTGTATTCGTGGAATTGAACTGCGTATCAACAAAATGTATTCCATACAATGTAAAACTATAGTGCGCGCTGTTTATGTTAATATAATTTTTTACACACCATTGAGCATTGAAATTGGACAAGCACACACATCTGCCGGGAGCAAAATCTACTTTTATTTCTTCATTTCCTGAATTAAAATGTCCTGGAAATTAATTTTCATTCTATGCATTAGTCGCCCTCTGCTAGGTAAGATAATAATAAACTATTGTCTAACAGAATTATTTTTAAACATATTTTTTTTACAAACGCAGCTTAAATGAATAAATTCATATTATTTGTAGAGCTTAGTATAACAAGCTAAAACTCCTTTAAAAAATCATTATTTAACTATAAACATACTTAAAATTAATTTGGCTTTTTGCATTTTAAATTCACATTATTTGTAGAGCTGAGCATAACAAGCTAAAACTCTTTTTTTTAATTAAAAAAATCATTATTTAAGTATAAACATACTTTTTACATTGTAAATACATTAAATGATTATTGTTTTATTTTATATGATCGGTTACAAGTCTAAATAACCACAAGACAACGATTGTTTGTCAATCAACTTTTTGCAGGCTGTGATGTCAGATGGTTTAGAACTGATTGCCAGGATAACTACCGCTGTAGTAACGAGTCCTGGTACAAGAGGGACTCGGTAGTGTCACACTGTGAAGACGACAGGAAACTCGACGCGAGAACTCTGAGCCGTTTTCCCCAAGATGTCGTACGCTGTCAGAACGAAGAGAGTCTGAATATGAGCCAGACAAACTTCACCAAAAGCTTAAATACGTGCCCGGTTAAGGAAAGCGTCCAGTTCATGCGTTTTAGTAACATCACTAATCGTAAGTTAGCTTGCATCGATAGGGATCCTGTAATTTTACAAATTTGTAAATATAATGTAAACTATTTTTACGTTTTTTTTTTATCCTTGCTGTTAGTGATTACCCCTCCATTATTCGCATTATTATCTCTAACCTTACCACCAATATAGTAGATGCCTTAATTTTGTATAACTCACAATGTCAATAATGCTATTATATTAAAGCAAACTAATAGGAAAATATCAACATAAGTGAAAATATAGGTTTAAAAAAAATTAAACGCCGATAAAGACACGGGATACAATGTAATTAAAAGTGATTTGAAATAACTAATATTAAACGTTTTTTAAATAAGGTGCAATAAATGAACGAGGAATCTATATAAGGACTTCGTGCTGATTATTTCCAACGTCGACCCTTCACTTGACCCCTATTAGCCAACCTGTTCTCTACTAACCATAACCAGATTTATTCCCAAGCTCAACATAAGGCCCAGCTGTTCCCTACTAGATATAACCAGATTTGTTCCCCAGCTCAACATAAGGCCCAGCTGTTCCCTACTAGATATAACCCGATTTGTTCCCCAGCTCAACATAAGGCCCAGCTGTTCCCTACTAGATATATCCAGATATGGTCCCCAGTTCAACAATAGGCTCAGCTGTTCCCTACATGTTCCCAACTAAAAAGTACCATGTTTGTTCCCCATTAGTCCAACTGTTCCCTACTTAAAAGTACCATGTTTGTTCCCCATTAGTCCAACAATTCCCTACTTAAAAGTACCATGTTTGTTCCCCATTAGTCCAACTGTTGCCTACTTAAAAGTACCATGTTTGTTCCCCATTAGTCCAACTGTTCCCTACTTAAAAGTACCATGTTTGTTCCCCATTAGTCCAACAATTCCCTACTTAAAAGTACCATGTTTGTTCCCCATTAGTCCAACTGTTGCCTACTTAAAAGTACCATGTTTGTTCCCCATTAGTCCAACTGTTCCCTACTTAAAAGTACCATGTTTGTTTCCCATTAGTACAACTGTTTCCTACTTAAAAGTACCATGTTTGTTCCCCATTAGCCCAACAATTCCCTACTTAAAAGTTCCATGTTTGTTCCCCATTAGTTCAACTGTTTCCTACTTAAAAGTACCATCTCTGTTCCCCATTACTCCAACTATTCCCTACTTAAAAGTACCATGTTTGTTCCCCATTAGTGAAATTGTTCCATACTTGCCCGCACCTTCTTTGTTCAACAGACAGCACCGCCAATTAAAACAACCAAGCCGGACCTCGCCTACACATTTCAGGTCGACAACTTGGTTAAGGTGATCAGCATCAGCTTTAGCTTCCTTAAAAGAGTGGTCAATGGAGAAAAGACCGACAAAGCCAAGGTAGGAATCAGTTGAGCGGCGTTTGATTTGGCTTGATGGGACAGCGGGACCTACCGGTATAGAGGTAGACTGTTAACCCTAAGGTATAGTTCGAATCCGGGTTCCAGTTAGTAGAATGTGCCTGAGTTCACCCAGCTCTGATGGGTTCTTAACTCACGTAATGGAAAAAGAGGCAACTAGGCATACATGCTGATTACACTATCCTTTCAAATGCAGAGGTCTCTGAAACAGATGAACTCTACTTCATCTGCCCCATGTGTCTTGGGGACAAACAGGAAAAGAGGGAGAGACAGAGAGAGAGAGATTGCGTAGACACTTTGATATAAACGATGCATTTCTCTTAATCGAGATGTCCACACATTAGAACATCAGAAATCGCGGATAGTTCACAAGTGATTTACAAACGGAGTGCTCGAATGTTAGAGCGTTTGACTGCTAACCTGAAAGTCAGGAGTTCGGATCCCAGGATTCTTCATGTAAGACTGCCTTGAACCCAACCACCTCTAATGAGTTCGTAATTCACGGTAGGGAAAGTAAATGCAGTTCGGCATCCTTGTGATTACACTATCCTCACTGAAACACGTGAACTCTTCTTTCCTGCCGTCAGTGTATTTTGAAATGTTATGATCGCCAACGTACCCCATTGAAATTACTTAGACTTTATTTTTACTTCAAAAATAATCTAGGCTTAATGTTTAATTATATTGTTGATGTCAAATTATGTTTAATCACAAAAGTTGTAATGGAACTGAAAGAAAAAAGAAAAGTAATATAATCTGTTGCACGCTTGTTGTATTTTTTTTTAAATACAATAGAACAAAGATAATTTACGAGTGACTGTATAAACCTTTTTGTCCGTCCTTAGTTAATGCTGACCGTCACCGAGACCAACGATAGCGAGCTGGACCTGTTCTTGACCTCTGTCACCGATGAGATGAAGGTATACATCCAGTCTGGATATATCATTATTATTAGCGACACTTACCCTCTGTTTTACAACGTCACTAGGGTTACACTAGCCGGAAGTTTCGAGAAGTTCCGCGTCGGGCAGAAAGACGGTGAGAAACTAATGTCACTTTGTTGTTCTAACCTTCACCTCTGTGAAGAATTTTTTTTCTATTTCAAAATGTACATCATACTAAGTACTTTATTAATCTTATATATATATATATATATATATATATATATATATATATATATATATATATATATATATATCTAATATATAAAACTCAATTCTGTATGTAAAAATAAGTTTGTTTGTTTTTCGTTGACATACTTCGATGGATTTAAGTGTTAGACTATTATCGTGCTCATAGTCTAAATTTATGAGTTAAAAAGTTACTATTGAAAGTGTTGGGAAATAATTTTCATTTTTCAAACTGATAGTAATAATTGTCGGCATGTTCATTAAACACAATTTTTAAAAAATAACAAAAATTCTAATTACTTCCCTTTGATAAATTAGGAAAACACAATTACTTCCCTTTATAAAACATTGCATTAGTTGAAAAGAATTTACTTTTTATTACTTTGTTTTGGTGTTGGGAAAAAAATAATTACATAATTAGCGGGGACTGATCAAGTGCAAATGTTGTAGGTATTTTACGAATAAGCTTGGAGTATTATAATTGTTCATTTGGTTTGGTTTGGCACCTACGTTAGTTTAAGTGAGTGCAAAAGACTATGAATAAGTTGGGGTACTATAATTTATTATTAATCTTATATATTAAGCTGAAACAATCGATTCTGTCCCGGGCTAGACTGTGAGCACTTTGCGTTTATGTTCGCGTTAGTGTTTTCTTTGTGTTTAGGTTGGGTTTGCGTTAGTGGTTGCGTTTCGATTTGGTTCGTTTTTGTTCTTTCTTTTTTCGTTTGTGTTTTTTCTTTGGGTTTGTGTTTGTATTTGTGTTTGTGGTTTGTATTTGTGTTTGTGGTTGGTTTTGCGTTTGGATTTGGTTTGTTTTCGTTTGCTTTTTCGTTTGTGTTTTTTTCTTTGGGTTTGTGTTTGTGGTTGGTTTTGCGTTTGGATTTGGTTTATTTTCGTTTGCTTTTTCGTTTGTTTTTGTCTTTGTGTTCGTATTGGTGTTTGTGGTTGTGGTTGGATTCGTTGTTAGGTTTTTGTTTTCGTTTGCTTTTTTGTTTGTTTTTTCTTTGTGTTTGTATTGGTGTTTGTGATTGTGGTTGGGTTTGTTGTTAGGTTTTTGTTTTCGTTTGTATTTGTAATTGTGTTAGCGTTATGTTTGCGTTTTGTTGTTTTGGTTTTGGTTGGTTGTGGTTTGGGTGGGCAATGCCGGGTTTATAATGATTACTAAACACACAGGTGATGGTCTTTAATAGAAAGGTTTTTCACAGAAGACAGAGCAGGGCTAGTATATATATATATATATATATATATATATATATATATATATATAGTAATTTAAGTAAGTGATTCTTATCCTTTTTGGAGGTAACGAACCCCACACGTTTTATATCCGCATTCAACAAACCCTAATTATTGGTTTTAAGCTCCGCTCTGACAATACCCTATCGTGAATCATATTTATAAGTCAGGTGTGTGTGAATTGACCTCTGCCGAATCCACGACACTAACTCACCGAACCCCTGGGGTTCGACCGAACCCAGTGTAAGAACCACTACCCTAGGCTAAGAACCAGTACCCTAGATTTATTTACTATCGCAACACAGAGATTCCGGCTCAGGAGCGCAACTTCCATTGTTTATGTACACCTCCATGCACTAAACTTCGACAAACTGGCTTAGAAGATGAAGGTTTCATCACCGAAGTTTGGTCGCTATCTTCCGTGGGTTCTCAACAGGCTTATGTTCCCTCCCATCAGATGCGAGCACCCGTGCTCTGAACACCTGATACCCAGCTAGATCGTGGGGAGATCCATACGCTTACAACAACACATACACAATTCCAGGCTCTAATTCAACTACTTTCTATAAGCCCTTATGTCTCAACCGTTATCTAATCATTCTCATTTTATATC